GGCGGGGCGTGGCGGGGCAAGGGTGCTACCTCGTACGGCCGGGGCATTTGGAGTGGAACATCTCGACACGCCGGGGCCCCGCCCGGGCGCCGCCCCGCGCGACAAGGCCGCCGGCACACTGCCCCCGCGGGGCCCGACAAGCATCCTGGTCACGGCACCCACCATGTCCTGCACTTTAGAGCCCCGTCCTGCTCGGGTCGCGATAGTGCGGCGTAGTCTCCTCGGCGCGGCCGCCTATCCCCATCGCTCCCTCACTCACTCGCTCGACCGGCCCCACGGGGGTGACAGAGACAGCAAATCTGTGGGGCAAACTGCACTCCTTATGTCGGGTAAGTGCGTGCATATCACACCTACCGTCCTGCCCCTCCTTTCAGAAACGAGTTACAACTTTCGACAACATTTTTTCAAATATACTGCGTGCCTGTGCCGCCTGCAGGTGGGTGAGCGTCGGGGCTCGCTTGTCATGGGCAGTGATCAGTATGGGATCATTCTAAAAGTACGTCCGTCATTCGTGGTTCCAAAACTGACAGGTTCAGCCTACGACGCAACCCCGTTGGCGCCTGATAGGTAGGCAACACTATTGCCTGCCGTGCATGCGCGTACTGCGGGTTGGCCTACTCTGAGTCTCGCAGGCGCTGAGCTCCCGTTATTTTGCCGAATGAATCGGAGGAAACGGGACTATCCCTATGACTTCTCAATTTAGTGCCGAAAACGAATCCATAAAACATTTCAACGGTATTTTCAGAATTCGCTCGGCAATAAAAATTTCATTGAAGAATAATTAGTTCTATCATGACGTCAAAGTGAATTTTCGAAAACAAATATTTGGTTTGTCGAAATTGACTACAGAAGAACCTCTATACTTGGCACCTTCGAGGTTTTACTGTGGTAACTACTTTTCGTTTTCCCTTATTCACCGGTGGATTCACTTACCGAATGTCATTGGACAGCTCTTCGAGATCCTCAAGCGCCGTTGGCTGCAACGTCCCCAGGTCGGTGTCGGCCAGAGGAGGAAAGGAGTTGTCCTCGTCAGCCACCACCACGTAAGCCGCGCCCGCTGTGCGCCCCGGCCCCTCTCTGCGTATAATGTCGTTCTGCTCGTCCGTCAGAGAATTACTTTGCAAAGCATATTTGATCGCATTTTCTCCATGTTGCTCGCGATTCTTAACTTGCTCCCCTTTCTTGTGGGCATGCCCGCTGTTCTCGGCCGATTGGAGGATAGTCTTGGTTGTCTGTCGTTCAGCCTCTGCTGAAGGGACCGGGCCCGGATTTGTTTCGGCTCGCAATCTGTGCAGCGAGGTCTGCTGCTCCGAGCTGCAGGAGGCGACCGAAGGGCGGGTCTCTCCTGCCAATCGGTGCGGATACTGCTGCGGACTCCAAGCCCAAGCGCGCGGCGGGCGCGGAGGCCAAGAAGTCGACCCCGCGGTCCACGGCGGCGACCTGCCGGGCACCACCGGGGGCAAGGCAAGCATGATCACGACGGGGGCGGGAGGGCCGGCGCCGAGCTGGGCGTCCTGGAGCGGGCCGGCGGCGGTCCAGTAGAGGGAGTAGAGCATCCAGTGCGGGGGCCACATGCTGGCGGACGCGGAGCAGCCCGGGCTGCGCTACGCGGGGTGCGGACTGGACTGGGCTATCCCAGCAGCCCGCACCGTCCCCCAACGTCCAGCCAGATGAGCCAGAGCAGCGCTCGGCTCGCGAGGCGCGAGGTGCATCGCACTCTCGCAAACAACCCTTCGGGCGCACGGCGCGCGGATGTGTCCGTCCTTGTCGGAACCTCGCCGATATCCATCGGAGAAAGAGAGAGGGAGAGAGTGGCCATTCCCTGATGTTTGCTTACCTCTTGGTTTACTCTTGGGCTCGGCATGGCCCGTAGAAAGTGGGCTCCTCGCTGATACAGCACCCTACCGGCCCCACCCCCTCCTCCTTTCTTTTTAAGATCCAGTTGTTTATAAACATCAGCCTAGCAGGCATATAACTCCCTACCCCCTCGTTAACGGTCCCTATGCCAAAACACTAAAATGCGTGCGGAGCTTTTACGTAGGGATTGTCACCGAAACACTGAAGGGAAAACAATCGGGGAAATGAAAACCCGCAGGTACCGTGAAACAGGGTAGTTAGGACCATCCAAGTGTAATGTGGACCACCCTCTTACCGCTGCTGTACAGCGCACTGTCTAAACTGGTATAAAACTAGAAGCCGAATCATTGGCTAAAACAGTCAAGTTTATGGTAGTCGCCAACAAAGTGCGGCAGCAGTCATGCAGTACCGACAAGACGGTGGTCGACATTACCCCCCCCCCCTCCCTGATGGTCCAAATTAGCTCGTTCGTTTTACGGTTCCAGTCGTCAGCTGAAGATGCTACGCCTGCAAAGCGGCGCACTGCGGCAACTGTCGTGCGGGGTGCGGCGGCGCACAATCCACTCGTCCTGCCAATAACCGACCCAGCATTATTCGCCCGTCAGGACGACGAACAGCTGTGTTGTGATGCTGTCTGCTAATGTTGTGACGTTTAGGCTGATTGACGTTTGCTCTTTTCTTTTAGAAATGCTTTTCCTCTAATAACCTACCGTTCAAGTTCGGAATTGAAACAGAAAAGCTTTGCAATACTGACAAACTCGACCGAATCGATCGATTGTTTTTGGCTCTTTCGTGTGATTTTTGAAAGGAGCATGTTACGATTCGTCGTTGAACCTGAGCTTCCCAGTTAATCTTAAATCTCTCTCTGGACCCCAATCGATTCAGTTTTCAATTAAAAAGCCAGTTCGAACATGGCAGGCTGGCTGGATATGCTTGCCCCCGGAGCGGGGGGTATACTAAGAAATATCTTCAACCCTGAGTCTAACCCTAACAAAGTTTTGGAGGTGAAACAGGATCGGTACAGCCACCGTCAAATAAGATGCAGAGAGGATGCTATCGTCTTGTACGAACTAACTGATAATAAGTATGAAATTGTTATGAACAGACCGACAACCGAATCAATGAACAAGGCTTTCAGGTTAGTGCGCTCAGTACGCTGTGTGTCGTCTTGCCAGCGTAAATTGTATTTTTACCTCTCAGGATGTTTAATCTGTGTATTTTTACAGTTTATTTCGTACTGAAAACTTAGTAACCGCTGAAAACAAATTCATCCAGCTCAAAGACAAAATTCCAGTAATTGTAGATGTTGCTAAAGAGGTAAGTAACTGTTGATCTTAGTAGGCATGTTCCAGTCCAGTTTTCCCTCTTCTTAAAAACAGATCTTATCATTTTACAGACATGTTATCCAGCTATGCTCCAGAAAATGTGTGATTCACTTGAGTTTAATCCAGGATGGTCAGTTGCACATTTGGCAGCACATTTTGATTTACACACCACTTTCAACTCTGATGCTATCTCCAAGTATGTTTCTGTTCAGTGAAAATGAGATGCTATTATTTTGTCTGTAGTTGAAACACAACTCTATGCACATTAAGTAAATGCTAATATTGCTTTTGTTCTAGATTTATTGATTCTTCAGACCCTAATACTGGTCTTTCTCCTTTACTTGTCGCAATTCAATCACAAAACTTCCTCAGCGTTAGAGCCCTTATCGGTAGAAATGTTTCGCTAGAACATTTAGACCATGATGCCAATTCAGTGTTTCACTATGCTGCCAGTACTAACAAGGATATTATAAATGTATGTACTGTTGTGTCTAATGATTATTGGTCTGTCGGTTGGCGTCTATTGGCGTGTCGATTTTAGTCAATGTGCTTTCTTCTTCTTTGAAAATAATTTGTTCTTTCCTTTGCAGCTCTTGACCATTAAAGACCGACTCAAGTGCTTAAACTATCGCAACTCCAAGGGCCATACTCCTCTCCATATGGCATGTCTTGCTGATAAGCCAGAATGTGTTAAGGCACTTCTTTTAGCTGGAGCAGATTGCAACATTTCTGCAGACACTGGCAACTTTTTGGATTCTGGAAAAACTTCAAGACAACCAGGCCTTGTTGGTAACTTTGTTGAAGTGAATTCACATCAACTTTATGCTCAAGATATGAAATATGGTGGCACTCCGTTACATTGGTCATGTTCCAGAGAAGTTATAGATACATTGTTGGATATGAACTGTCACATCAATGCCCTCAATTTTGATGGGCGGTCAGCTTTGCACATCATGGTGTGTATAAACTATTTTGTTTGAATAGGCCTGTTCTTTATTAACATTTTCTTGTCAACCAGTTTCTTGATTTTCAATTGTTGTCTAATATTTGCAAATTATCATATGTCACAGGTGCTACGATCACGTTTGGAATGTGTTATGGCACTTTTATGCAGAGGTGCTGAAATCAATATTGGAGATTCTGATGGTAATACTCCTTTACACTTGGCAATCTTAGCACTCAATGTACCAATTGTTCAAGCATTGACAGTGTTTGAAGCTGATCTGCAGTACAGGTAAGTTAAATTTTAAAGTTTTTCACTTGTAAATTTTAACTACTGTTTTTGATATCTTATCAACTAGACCTTTGATTTGTTGTTTTCTTTTGCTAAGGAACCATGCTGGTGCAACGGCCCGTCATCTTGTACCAGCTGACCCAACATCAGTAGAGGGAAGAATATTGCTTCATGTGCTCCATTCTGTTGGTGCAGAGAGATGCAGTATAGATATGGCAGGCTGCTCTGAAGGTTGTGCTTACAATGGCAGCTATAATGGTGATGCACCACCCCCTCCTCCTCTTGGTTGCACTAGAGATACTCTGAATCAAATGCTCTTTACTTATGCTATGGATCTAGCATCCAGCCGCAATTCCCAAAAGTTGGTGGTCTGTTTTTTGTTAAATTGCGTAAAATTATTATTTTTCTGTTTTTAATCTTATTGATGTTCCCTTTGTTCTTGAAGGAAGCGTTGCAATGTATTGTGCCTTGACGGCGGAGGTGTTCGTGGACTGGTACTTATCATCCTGTTAATGGAGTTAGAAAAGGCAGTTGGAGAACCAATCCTCCACTGCTTTGATTGGGTAGCTGGCACCTCAACTGGGGGTATTCTTGCTTTAGGTTTAGCTGTTGGTGAGTATTTTTTGGTAACCACTTCAATCAATTGCTTATTTACATATTTAAGTATTGCCCCAAATTTTTCAGGAAAATCGTTACACGAATGCCTCTGTTTGTATTTTCGAATGAAGGACATAACATTTGTTGGTAAGCGGCCTTATGCTAGTGAACCATTGGAAAAGCTTTTGAAAGAAATATATGGTCCTGATACTGTCATGACTGAAGTGAGCCATCCTAAGTAAGTAAACATTATCTTACAATTTCAGAACTATATATATCAGGATGATTAATATTTTGTTGTTGCTGGGTTTTTTTAAAAATTGCCAATCAAACATTTTATTTTTGTAGATTGGTAATTACTGGTTTGTTGGCGGATAGAAAGCCTGTGGACCTTCACATTTTTCGTAATTATATGTCACCCAATGAAATTCTGAATAAAGATGAGTATGCCAACTGTAAGTTTGTGAGGCCCACTCATTTCACAGAACAGTTGATGTGGAGGGCAGCACGTGCATCCGGAGCTGCTCCAACGTTTTTCAGGTTTGTTTAAATTTGAAGCATTTGACTAACTAGTTACATTGTCTCTCCAGTTTATTTTTGATAAATTAATTGAAAACAATATTTTTACAGTGCATTTGGCCGGTTCCTAGATGGAGGGCTTATTTCAAACAACCCTACTCTTGACTGCTTAACAGAAATTCATGAATACAATTTAGCCATGAAAACGATGGATCCAGAATATGAGGTTGCTCCAGCAACATTAGTTGTTTCTCTTGGAACAGGAGATATTCCAGTTACTGATGTATGTAACATCAGTTATTTCCCATTTTTACTGAATTTATTTTTATTTTTCTGAAAAAAAAAATCATAATACTACTTGTTTCTGTTTTTTACATAAAGCTCAAGGAAATTGATGTCCAGCGTCCTGATAGTTTTCTTGGTGCTACTAAACTAGTTTTTGGTATAGCTCAACTAGGCACACTTATTATTGATCAGGTATGTGTGGACATTTTGGTGAAGTTCATTATATCTACATTATTAGCAGAGCACAGTACCCCAAGGGAAAATCTCGTCTCATCCACGTGGACTCTATGGTCAATTTCTATTTATCTATGTGAACGTGATTACGTTATTTCTACCTCAAGTCGACGGAATTACAAAGATTCACATGTAGTCAGCGTCGCATCTACGTGGATAGGGTTACGTGGACGTCATTTCCCATGGGGTAAATACAGTATGTACTGACCTTAAAATTATGGTTGAAAAATTGCAGGCCACTCAAAGTTCAGGAAGAGTAGTAGACAGAGCTCGGTCATGGTGCTCTATGATTGGTGTTCCATTTTACCGATTTTCCCCTCAACTCAGTGAAGAAATTGACATCAATGAAAAGAGTGATGAGAAACTAGTTCGTATGGTGTGGGAGTGCAAAGCATACATGGTCAGCCAGCGTAGTTCTGTGAATGAACTAGCAGCAATGCTAAAAAGTGGATAAGGTGGTGAGTGTATTAATCCTCAAATCTTGATATTATTCTGTAATCATATCCGTATCATTCATTTTAGCTTATCAAGTTTTAAAAAATGTTAATGAATTTCGATCTGAAATTTATGGCAAGGCCATTTTTAGTCTTCTGTAATTTAGTGAATATAATCCTCCAATATTGCTTGGATTCCTCATATTTAAAGGGAACTTGCCATTTTTATCTCATATACAAATATTTGCCACCAACCTGTAGGTCGGCACCGATAGACCTAAAATTAATGTGATTATTCTTCTTGTCATCTTCTAGTCTAATAAAGTATGTGGAAGTCGAGCCATGTTGATGCCTAATGTAATACCCAAATGGATGTGCCTCTCACCAGTCTGGAGCACAGGTAATGGAATGCCTTATTGCACGGTCCACACGTTGCCGCTGTCCGCGAGACACGTCCGGAGCGCCTCCTGGGCGAGATGCACGCCGCGCACGGGGGCCCTGGTGAGGACGTGCATCTCGTCGAGGAAGCGACACAGCCAGGGCAGCGCCGCCTTGGGCTCGTCCCGCTCCATGGCCTCCAGGGCGGCGTCGAAGTCCGCGCGCGCCGACTGCAGTCGGGTCCGCACCTTGTCCAGGTCGACGGCGACGGCACAGCGGGGGCACTTGGCGTTCCCCACCACGTCCTGCGGCCGCGGCGCTCGCATCGTCTGCTGACAGCCCGCTGCGGGGCACCTGTGCGACGGAGCGAGGGTGTAGGTCCGAGGCGCAGCACTTGATTAGAAGGAATGCGGTTGTCTGGGGTTGCCAAAAGGACTGCAATCATGTCTCTTTCGTCTTGTTAATATTTTATCAAAAGTGATTAAGCTCGTAGGCCCCAATTCTCACCTACCAATTCTAATCATATCTTTTTACTTTGATCACAATTTTAGAGCTGGAGGGG